TCAAAGGTCTTATCTCTCCTGGCGTGGCGCCAATAAGTAGAGAAGGGGGATTTTTTCGCCGTATTAGCTATTTGTCATTGATCGCTTCTCAACTTTTTTTTTCTCGCTGTGTAAAATTTTCGTTTCATTTATTGATGCACGTGTAATTTTTCGTTTCGTTTATTGAAATATTTTTTTTATTTATGTACGCAAGAGAATTTCACTATGAAATTTCTCGATATAAATAGTGATATTATACAATTAGAAGAAGGTGTCCGGAATGCATTTAGGTGGAATTGGATTGAACGGAGAGATGGTAATGGGGATACCATCGGCACATGGTGCAAGAAAATAAATGTTGCTGGACAAGCATATTGTGTTTTTTGTAACTCACTGCTGAAGTATGGTGGGGAAGGATTCAAGGCTTTCACAAATCATTCTAAAACTGTGACGCACATAAAATATTCAAAGTGCATTAGACATTCAATGACTTTAAGTAATTATGCTAATTCAAAAAATACTGATGACTTACTGGAGACTGATGCTCGGCCATTGGATATAGTGACAAGAAAAGCACGCCAAGAGGTATTAATAACTTCGTTTATCGCCGAGAATTCTCTTTCTTTCAATGTAGCTCCCAATTTAATTGAACTCTGCAAACAGTTGAGCCGCGATCAGACGGCACTAAACTCGTTGGAAATGTCCAGGACTACTGCATGTTATAAGATGAAATATGGGCTCGCAAAAACTATTAAGGAAAATATCATTAAAACTTTAAAGGAGACTCCATTTTCTCTAAATTTGGATGAAAGTACTAGCAATGCTCAAGAAAGTATACTGGCAATATTGGTGCAGTTTTATGACAACAATCAAAATGAAGTTGTAGTTCATCATTTTGCATCTCTAAAGATGGAATCTTGCAATTCAGAAGCTGTTTTTAAAGCAGTTGTTAATACTATTGAAGATAATAATATTCCATGGGCAAACTTAATTAGTGTATTAATGGACTCATGTAACACCATGCGTGGAAAAAAAAAGGGTGTTGAAACCAGACTACGATCAAACAAAGCACCCCCACTTATTAGATATTGATGGTGACACATGTCACACAGCTAATAACTGTGCAAAAAAAATTTGCTTCATGTTTTGATAGATACTTAGAAGATTTGTTTGATGACATCTATTTTGATATGAAAAGCTGCAGTAAAAAGAGAAAATTTTTTCAAAATCTGTGAATCCCTTGCCATTAAAAAACTTAAGCCCTTGAAGAGACCAGACCATAGGTGGGTGTACATTTTATGTGTTTTAGAAAGAATCAAAGATCTGTGGGATGCTCTTATTGCATTTTATTTTCACTACTTGGATAAAACTGATAAAGGGGATTATTTTTTTTCTTATGTTGAAACTGTATATACAATAAAAGAAATATTTCTGCAGCTCAGAAAAAAATTGTTGAAGGGGTGTATTCTTGCTTGCATTCCCAACAACTCACAAAGGATGCTTTAGCTCGGGAAAAAAGAATACTAAATGGGTTATTTGTTATGCAAAACAAAACTTTATTGCATATGGCATTATATTCAGCAGTATTACCAGAGTTCAACACATATATTAAATTATTTGAAAAAAAAAAAAAAAAAAACCAATGCTTCATTTAATACATTCCAGTATTTATAAATTGATGGCAAAATTTTTCTCTTTTTTTATGAAGCCAGAAAATATAGAGTGCACATCTTATAATGATTTATTAAAGGTTGATGTCACAAATCCAGAATTCCATCTACCTAGCAAAGTAATATTTACTGGTGCAGAAGCTTCCACTCTCCTGAAGAAATTTAAAAAAAAATCATCCAATAGCAAAAGAATTCCAAATTTCTCTGATGAAAGCTTATACTAATACAGCACAAAGCATATGAAACAGAAATTACCCCTTAAAAATTCATATCTAATTAGTTTTACAGCATTAGATCCAGAGCTAAGAGGTAAAACCAGTACAATATTAGCTTTTGAAAAATTATCATCTTTTATGTCCCATATTTTTAGTGATAATGAAAAGTCAAAAGTAAGAAGCTGAAATAAGGTTATACCAGAGTGATTGATATCACCAAGAAATGCTCTACACATCTGATGAAAGTGGAAATAAGTCAAGTGTACAATTGATAAAAATTGGTCTAAAGTTTTTAATTTAAAAGATGATTTTCACAAGTATCCTACATTGGCTAAATTGGTCAAAGCCTGCCTTTGCTTCCATGGCTCATTATGAAAGTCATTCAACTTAATGGAGAACTTGTCACTGACATAGAACTCGCTTAAGATTGATTCCCTAGATGCAGTGCAGACTATTAAATATGATTTAATGGCTTCTAAAGAAACTCATAAAAAATATGGCAAAAATCCAATGCGATCCAATTCACAAAGATCTCTTACTGAATATGAAAGAAGTTGGAAAACATATCAAGAGGACTTAAAAACATGTATTTCAGATGAGTACTATAAAAGTCTCTAAAAACCTTCTACATTAGCAGAAAAGCAAACTGCTTCTACTCTGCATGTGCAGTTCTCGAGGAAATTTCTTCAACTGTAAATGAGGAAAATAAAAGGAACCTTCCTGCAATTATGAAGTTCACCACAAAGAAAGACAAGCCCAAAACATCAGAAAATAAAAAAATAGCAGAAATTAGATAATTTTTTTTAAAGAATTAATTCAGTAATTTAAAATATTACATAAAATGTAGTAGTTTATATTTTGAAAATTTATGGTTATTAATTTTGCAAAAAAGTAATTATTGAATTTATAATTAGGTCATTCAATACTTCATAATTGTAATTTTTCATTTCTCTTCCCCCCCCTTCTCGAAACTCCAAAATGTCGGTAGTAAGTCCGTAAAAGTTTCAGGGGATTTTTGGGGGTCCCACAAACACCCCTGATAAATGCACACATCATGAGACCAACTGGAAATGCATGCTAGTTGACGAAACACATTTTGTTTGTTTGCACCTCGAAGTTGCTAAGTGAGATATATGTGAAATTTGTGCCAGTTGAATAATAAATGTTTGAACAGCAGATCCCACAACGATGATGGAACCAAACTGGTTGCTATCTAAGAGGCATTTACTTTTTGTGATTATCTTACAGACAAGAAAATATTGTATTTCTTACATTTTTAAAATATTAGGGGCATTAAATTTATTAAATTACAGAAACTCCTTTGTAATTAAGAAGTGTGTGAGTCTATACATATATCATTCAGTACATCTAATTTTTTTTAATTGCTGGAGCTTTCTGCTTCATTAAACTATTACTTGTTTTTAGTTCATTTTTAGCCCTTATTTAATCATGGTGATACTTAGCCACTGAAATAAAGGGGAGTGGTATTGCACTTATACTTTCCCTTAGTCCCTGCCCCCAAAAACTGTATGGTTGGGGGATGTAAAAAATGCTTTAATATGAAATGCTTTTTTTACATTGATATTATTGTTTGTTCTATGTAATCATATATTATTTTTTTTAGAGTGATCTAATGGAAGAAGGCGAGGATGATGGGGAAATATCAGATGTAAGTTTGTTTTAGTTTGTGTATAAAATTGTCTTTGTGTGATAATCTTGCAGTATATATTTTGTAGACATATATGTGTCCCTCTTTGCAAAAGTCAAGCTGCAGTGTCTTTGATGAACGTTTTATGGCAAACTGTCAGTTCTTCAAGTGTAAAATTGCTAATAGAGTAGAATTCTTATAAATCAACAAATAATATAATCTTTGAATACAATCTTATAATCTTTGATTTTCAGAAAATTCAGCATGATAAATTATATAGTATTAAATAATAAAAATGCCCTGAAGCATATTTTGATTGCAAAAGTGGTTTAGTTATATTACTGAAATTATTTTAGAATTTTCTGCACCCATGTGACTGTAGAAAACCTTAAATTGTGTTCTTCTCTTAGTAAAAATATCTTTTTTGTCTATCATCGATACTTTTTTATAATTCGCCTTAAAAAGTTTCTGTGCCCCATCCTATAATTCTTAAGCAAAGATGAGGAGCAAAGCATTATATATAAAAAAAGAGTGAAATATTTACCAAGATGACCATAAAGATGCTTTCCTTTTTATAATACATGAAGACTAAAAATTTCAGCATTTATTTGTGCTTTAAATGTTGTGTGCATGATTTGATGTTTTTATAATATTAATTTTTACATGTCTAATTAAGTTTAAAATTTTGCAGCTTAGGTCAGTGTATTTGTCTGCTATTTATCGGACATTGCTTTCAAATTTAAACGTACTTTGTAGCTGGTTTGTTTACATTCCCTTGCACTTTCTAGTTATGTTTACACTGTTGACAAATGGAGATGCATCAGGGTAACATATTTTGTGAAGCTGGCTTCCACATGGTTGTGCTATCCTAGAGTTGTAGCTGATGGCGATTTTCTGGCTGGTAACTTGAGCATGAAAATTTCATAGAGTGATGCTGGTCTAGTATGGGAGCATACCTCAGGCAATAGCAACTTTTTCAAAGCCAATCTGATTTGGAGCAGTCTGATGAATACTGATCCATGGACACGAGAGCTGTTACTGCACTGAAAAATTTGGTTAAGATGTCACTGAGTAGTTGATAGTGCCTAAACCATTATGTGTGTATGCCCAGGGGCCAGTTAGAAAATTCTAAAGAGGCTATGTCCATGCTGTATCTTATTTCTACAGTATATTTTTTTATGAAGTCTGAATTCTCAATTTTGTACACTTTGTAAAGATCCTTAGGTTTCGGTAAAAGAAGATATTAATTTAGAAGAAAGAGAAAATTAATTAAATATTAATTTAGAAGTCAAACAACAAAAATCTGCATTATATTTGCAAATTTTCACAGGACTAAATTTGATAGTTTTTAACGAACCATCATCCTCATCTGCCAAAGAGCAGATGAACCCCAATTGCTCTGCCATGGATAAATATGGAAGAAATTCATGTGTACAGAAATAGGTTGTGAAAAAAGCAATACAAATTTAATAGCTTAATTGACATACCTGAAAATTCTTTTTTTCCCCCTGTTCAGCCAAATGTTAACAAGTGTGTTATTTTTGAAATCTTCAGTTAGAGTTTGATCACAGGAAATTTCTATCGATTGTTCTTTCTCTTCACGAGAGAAAATTTCAGGTACATTTGAACAAAATAGATTTCTAATCCAATTTTTTTGATAATCTTCTAAAAAATAAATGTTGAAATTATTTATCAATGGAAAATGGTGATTTTTAATGTTGGATGTTAATTCTTTTATGTTCAAATTATTTTCGTTTAGAAAACTTTCTAAAAGTGGTATTTTTTTTTATTTTTGATCTCAAGTTTTTTTTTTTTTTATCATTGCATTTATCTCTAATGGTAAACAAATTAATGCTTTGTTATCCTAAATTTACTAATTTAACTTTCCAATAAGGAATATGTGCTAAAAGCATCAACCATAATTCAGTAAGTATACTGCTGGCCATTAAAATTGCAACACCAGGAAGGAAGGATCTGATGAGCGTCAAAATCACATGAAATAATGAAGGGGTTGGGATATGCAAATGATTAGTATTTAAGTACATTTAGACTATGCAGAAGGAAGAAACAACATCTCAAGCACTGCATGAAACAAAAGTTGTGTAGTGGGTTTCTCATTCGGAAAGCACTTTGTAAGGCCAGAGTTTACTCAGAGTATCGTGTTATGCCTCGAATATGAAGAAGAAATGCTTACCAGCAAGTGTCGTATTTTGATAGAGGCAGGTTTGTTGCCTATTGAGAGTGTGGATTATTGTTCTGATATCACCCGTTGCACTGGTGGACATCCAACCACTGGCATGTGAATATAGATGGAATGGGTTGCTGAGGGTCTTACTGAATGACTTGCAGGATCTTAACATACTATCATGACTAACGCCCGAGAGGTCAGATATATTGTGAGGGTCAGCCCTGCAAAACCAAGGTTCGTAGCGGTCCTTACAAGTGCTTATAAGTCCTTATATTTGAAAATAAAATATAAAGGCTCTTATAGGTGCTTACTTTTTCTTTAAAGCCCTTATTTTTTTATTTTTAGTGCTTATTTTTTGCTTTTAGTGCTTTTTTTTTTAATGAACGCGCATTTTTTTTCCGTACCAAAGCTGAAACTAAATAAACACTTTCTCCTTATATGCAACGTCAGATGGTGATCATACTCCCGAAATTGCTTTTCCCCCTTTCTCTCATTAAAGTAACCTGTGGTGCGTGCTCCGCGTTTCAGTTCATATTCGTGTTTATTATGATCGTTATGCTTATATTATGAGCATATAATGAAATTTATAATAGTTGCGTAACTGCTGAAGTATAGATAAACTTCCAAAAATGGGTGTGTTTTTAGCAAATTACCTTTCTAAGGAATAATATTCGGAATGCTTAAATAAAAGGAAAGTATCGAATAGTCAAAATAATTTTTTCCCCCAAACATTCTACAGTACGGAGGTTGGGAGTTCTCCTTTCTCCGCAAAATCTCTAATATTGAAACAGCGGTCTTTCTTTCTTTTCTTTTTTTCCTGTCACTGCCCAATCTGGATTGAATAGGACTAAAAGTTTTTGCGGTCCACCAGCCTAAGCGAAGATTTTATTCGGCAATTTACGCAGTCTGTTGAAATTAGAATCAGAAACACCCCGAATAGTAAGTCTCTTTCTTTCCTTTACTCAGTCTTTATTCTCCGAATACTGACAGCTGTTGATTTTGATTATGTAATATCACGTGCGGAAGAATTGAGGCACACGTATTGCGCAATAAAGTTTGCGGTTTGCAGAGATAATTAATTTTATTTTGCAGATTTGTTTATAAAAGAGTTTTACCTCTTAGCACACCACTGTGCTTGCTAAGCAGATTATTTTTCAGTTCCATTGGACTATTTTTTATATGATGCACATATCGAAATGTCAAAATCAATTATTTAGCCGAGAAATCTAAAGAACGGCTACAATCTCCCCCACTCTCTTTTCCATTACTATCCCGAATATTCGGCAATTTCCGAAAATGCGGGGTTAGTTACTGTTAAAGGATTACGCATGAAGCAATTTCCCGTCTTCTGATTTCATATATGTGCCTCTTTTTTACTTAAATTACTTTGCTTGGAATATACGTTAAGGGAAAACTATTATGCAATGAAAATTTGGAAAACGTTCAGAATTTTGATTTAAGTTAAATTATTTAAATATTATATGAGTGGGAAAATAAATTGTATTTATTATTAGGTGCCGAACGAATACAATTAATATGGTTATTATTATTTATTTTCTATTTTGAACTGAAATTTCAGTGCTCATTCTCTTAATAAATTGCATTGCTCATATTTAAATTACAGTCCTAACTTTTCTTTAAGGTTATGCAGTTGTATATAATGTAATTAGACAGGTGCTTATTTTTTCCTTAAAATGTGCTTGAAAAGTGCTTATAGGTGCTTATTTTTTTAACTAAACTGTGGCTACAAACGCTGAAAACCATACAACATCATGTGCCATTAGTTTGGGAAATGGGCAGGTTTGCAGCACGCCCAGTATCCGCTCGTATAATGCGCTGACTTTTGCAGCAGTGGACTATCAGCATGAAGACCATTGCTTCGTCTTCCCTTGACAATGCATCATAGAGAGAGACTGCGAATCTGGTGCACCGATCAACAAAGCTGGCTACAAGAGTGACATAATGACACCTTTTCAGATGAGTCCGGTTCTGCCTGCAGTATTCTGATGGCGGTATACATGTTTGGAGGCTCCGAGGAGACTGCACATCACCTGCTTGCATTCGATATCCGCATAAGGGCCCTGCACCTGTTGAGATGATTTGGGCAGCCATTGGTTAGACGACATGCACATCTCTAGTGCGGATCAATGGTAATTTGAACACATATTGGTACATTAATGACATCTGACGTTCAGTAGTTGTGGCCTATCTTTGAGGCCTGCCAAATGCTATCTTCCAACAAGATAATGCAAGACCAAATGTTGCATGTCATGTTCTGACCTTCCTCAATACACGGTGTATTCGACTGCTGCCCTGGCCTGCATGATCTCCAGATCTGTCACTCATTGGAAACACTTGGTCATGGATTGCTAAGAGAGTGGCCCGCCACCCCTCTCCAGCTAATAAGGTTGATGATATGTTGTATGCATTTGAACCAGCATGGAATGATTTGCCTGTTTCTCCTCATCCAAGTCCAGTTCAACTCCATGCCTAACCGGGTAAGGGACATTTTTGCTTCCATTGGTCGCAGCTGTATTTACTAATTTCATAAATCCCCAAACTGCATACAGCATACAAATTTAATCATTTTGTCTTCATGCCATACCGTTTAAATTCAATAAATATGTTTTTTGTATTTGCTTTCCTTCATGGTGTTGCAATTTTAATGGCCAACAGTGTAAGAAGATTTTGCAATTCAAATTTTGAGTCACAGAGGAAAATTTGAATTTCTTATCAAAGTTCAGAAAAACAATTTAAAGATTTGGGCTGCTAATATAAACTGACCTGTGAATTATTTATTTTTTGTTTGAATGTTTAAAACGAATCATGTATA